CAAATAATATAGAGGCATCTCGGTGGAAAACTGAAACAATACATGTAATCACAACATCTGAAGCAATGGCATCTGTTCTGGCAGAGAGGGCATAGAAATGGGCCTAGACACCCCCTGATCTGCCTCCCCCTCTCGGGCAACCCTTAGCTGACTGGGTTCCACCCCTAGCTGGCTGAGCTCCACCCCTGGTTGGCTGGGCGGGTGGTGGAGGAACTGGTGCTNAGCCTCTCTCTCAACCCTCTCCTGATCGCGAACCATCTCAATCTGCCGAGCAATGTCGACAACCTCATCAAAGGTAGCACCAGACACCCTCTCTCTGGTCATAAGCAACCGTAGCTAAAAAATGAGGCCATTTATAAACCTCATGATCCTCTCCCGGTATGTGGGAACCAACCAGATAGCATGACGGGCCAACTACGAGAATCACATCTCATACTGCGTCACAGACATATCACCCTAGCAAGGCTGCTCAAACTGTTTGCGCAGCTCCTCTCTGCGGGACTGAGGCACGAACTTCTCCAAAAAGATCACAAAGAACTGCTGCCAAGTAACAGGTGTTGTGCCAACAGGTCTACGCCACTCGTAAGTCTCCCACCACCTGAGTGCAGCCCCGGGAAATTAAAAAGTAGTGAATGAGACCCCATGAGTCTCCAGAATACCAGCTGTACGGAGTATCCTCTGACATCTGTCCAAGAAATCCTGGGCATCCTCTCTCTCTGTGCCACTGAAAGGTGGAGGCTGGAGTCTCCCAAACCTCTCCAACCTACATTGATCATCCTCAGGCATAATAGAAACCACATAGTTTTGAGCAGTTGCAACCGGCTGGGCTGGTGGTGCCTCCAACGTCTGGAGTTCCTGAACAACCTGCTCGGGTGTACGAGCGACGGGAGTCTGAGTGCCTTCCCCGGCCTGAGAAGTGGTTGTGGCCGTCGAGATAGAGACCGCCTGAGCAAGACCGGTACACGCTGTTAGAATCTGAGCTAGGGCCTCATGGAGGCCTGGAATCACGATAGGCACAGGTGGTGCCTGAGCTTGTGCATCAACAACTGGAATCTGGTCCTGATCTAGGGCAACTGGTGGATCTGCAGGTACTGCCCCAGCTGTTGTATGAGCTATACATTTGCCCCTACCACGGCCTCTACTGCGGCCTTGGCTGGTGGTACTGGTGGCTGGCCCTCCTGACCGGTAGCACGAGCCCTCACTATCTGTGAGAGAATAAAATAACAGGTGTTTAGTTACCAGAATAGACAGGTTTGCACGACAAGAATCCAAGAATGTGAAATTTTCCTAAGGGTTCTGCAGCCTCTCGAAGATAAGTAGAGACGTCTTCGTACCGATCCGCAAGATTCTGCTAAACCCGCTCATGACTTGTGAGACTTATATAACCTAGGATCTGATACCAACTTATCACGATCCAAAACCTAACCCGTCGTGATGGAGCTTATCGTGGTACTAGGCAAGCCGACCTTTCCAAAACACTTTCCAAATTTAACAGAAAAGAATTAAGACATTTAAAATAATCGGAGTTTCTCATAAATACGGGGTAAAACCCAAATAAAACACAAGTGCGAAAAAATAGCCTGACATCGGGGTGTCACTAAGTCATGAGCATCTAGAAAACCAAACTAATACAACCAGTGTCTAAGTATCAATACAAGACAGAAAGAAATATTGAAGGAGAGACAAGGTCCTGCGGACGCCGGCAGCTACTTCGTAGTCTCCGGTACTTGATCGCGCCTGAACTTAAAGACCTCCGTGATCAAATACACCTGGATCTGCACGTGAAGTGCAGGGTGTAGCATGAGTACAACCAACTTAGCAAGTAACAGAAATAAAAAAGGAGCTGAGAAACAGTGACGAACTATACAGTACAGTTCATTTCAAAAGTTTTCACTAAAGAGTACATGCTTTCAAACCCTGTGGTATAAGTCAAATCAGTTCGCGGTCATGTAAAACAGATATGAATCTTTCAGAAATTTCACAACAACAACAGATAACAACTAAATGCAATAATAAATAAAAGCAAGTATAGCCTCTCGAGGCAACAGTCACTCAACCCATCTCAACAACTCACAATCTCGGCTCTCAGCCCTCATTACAAACTCTCAATAGGTGCATGCGCTCACTGGGGGTGTTCAGACTCATGAGGGGCTCCTACAGCCCAAGCGCTATAATCTGCACGGACAACTCACGTGCCATAGTATAAATATTTAGATCCGCACAAACAACTCACGTGCTGCACGAACAACTCACGTGCTATAGGATAATATAAGGATCCGCACGGATAACTCACGTGTTGCACAGACAACTCACATGTTGTAGTATAATATCTCACAAACAAGCCCTCAGCCTTACTCAGCCATGAACCTCTCTAGTCTCATAGCTCTCAATAAAGAAAGGAAAAATAGCCCAAATCAAAGTGTTACAGTATATCATACGAGAAAATAACATAGACTGAGGTAAATATGTACAAGAATCACTATGACTCAATATAACTACCATGAGCAGGAATATAGCCTAAGCATGATTTCTAACATGAAAGGCAGTCAAGTTCTTGTAGACAGGAATGCATATAAACACAAATAAAGGCTATTAGACTTCACAGTCTCTTGGGACGGACCAAGTCTCAATCCCTCACGGCGTACACCCACACGCCTGTCACCTAGCATGGGTGCCACCTCCAAACAGTCACATTATATCAAACTCCGGGTTTCATACCCTCAAGACCAGATTTAAAACTGTTACTTACCTCAACAGTGTAGAACTCTTACTCCGAAATGCCCTTTCCTCTCGAACCGGCCTCTAAATGACCCGAATCTAGCCACAAGCAATAAAATACAATCAATATGAGCTAAAGAATGAATCCTACAACTAAATTATGGGCCAAATCCCGAAATTCACTCAAACCCTGCCCCGGGCCCACGTCTCGAAATCCGACAAAGTCACAAAACTAGAAAACTCATTCACTCACGAGTCCATACATATGAAATTTATCAAAATCCGATATCATTTGGTCCCTCAAATCCTTAAATTAAACTTTATAAAATCTCAAGCCCTAACCCCCTATTTTCACCCCTAAATTCCACTAATTAGATGATAATACAATGGGAAAATGCTATAGATAGGAGTATTAGAGACCAAGCAACTTACCTCACTGAAAACCCTTGAATCTCCCTTCAAAATCACTCCAAAATCTCAAAAAATCGACTTAAAAATGGTGGAAATGAACCAAAATTCGTGAAGTGTTCTATTTATAGTTTCTGCCCAGGTCTTTCGCACCTGTGGCTAAATATGCGCACCTGTGGTGCCGCATCTGCGCAAGAACCTCCGCACCTGCGGAAAATCATTAAAACCCCCAACTTCGCACATGCGTTCTATATCCGCATCTGCGACTACGCAGGTGCAGAAAAGACCTCGCACCTGCGGCCACTGCCTAACCTCCTCACTTCCGCTTTTGCGGGCACCTATCCGCATCTGCGGACTCGCAGATGCGACCTCACCTGCGCACCTGCGGACCCAGCCTACCTCAACATTGTTTGCACCTGCGAACTCCCACACGCGCCTACGACCTCGCACCTGCGGCTCCCCATCCGCATGTGCGGAAATACCAGTAGGAGTAGCTTCAACTGCATTTTTTCAACTTCAAACAATCGGTTAACAACGCGAAATCACCCCGAGCCCCTCGGGACCTCAACCAACCATACCAACAAGTCATATAACAACATGAAAACTTAGTCGAGCCTTCGAATCACTCAAACAATATCAAAACACCAAATGACGCCGAAACCTACTAAATCATGTCCGAATGACCTCAAATTTTACACACACGTCACAAATGACACCACGAACCTACTTCAATTTCCGAAAATCTATTCCGACCCTAATATCAAATATTTCACTGCCGACCAAAATCGCCAAATTTCCAAGTTTCGCCAATTCAAGCCTAATTCTACTTCGCACCTCTAAATCACATTCCGGACGCGCTCCTAAGTCCAAAATCACCTAACAGAGCTAACGGAATCATCAAAATTTGAATTCGAGACCGTTTATACATAAGTCAACATCCGGTTGACTTTTCCAACTTAAGCTTATCCCAAAGAGACCAAGTGTCTCAATTTACTCCGAAACCACTCCGGACTTGAACCAACTAACCCGATATAACACAATATAGCTGAATTACATAAAAAGAAACAGAAATGGGGGAACCGGGGCTATAACTCTCGAAACGACCGTCCGGGTCGTTATATTAAGTTTTTAATCTGTTTTGATTTCACCGATCAATCATTTCTTATGGAAATAATTGCTTGTGTGCAGTAAGATTAATGATTTAAATCTCCAGAAGTCAATTTATATATTAAGTTATTTCATTGGTAATAGAAATGAAAATAATTGCTTGTGTGCAGTAAGATTAATGATTTAAATCTCCAGAAGTCAATTTATATATTAAGTTATTTCATTGGTAATAGAAATGAAAATAATTGCTTGTGTGCAGTAAGATTAATGATCTAAATCTCCAGAAGTCAATTTATATATTAAGTTATTTCATTGGTAATAGAAATGAAAATAATTGCTTGTGTGCAGTAAGATTAATGATCTAAATCTCCAGAAGTCAATTTATATATTAAGTTATTTCATTGGTAATATAAAACTAATTAAAATTTTATCTTACGGTTATAAATTATTAATATTTTTGTGCGGTATGATTGAAAAGAAAAGGAGAATTTTCTATCTACACAATACATAGATCAAAATTCCAGTCATGAGATAAAAATATATACCAATTAATTATTACACCATATGCGAATAAGTATTCCCTATTGGATTATCACTTGAAAAAATTTCTTTCCTTATCATGTCTCCTCACTAAAATCAAAGTGTTTTATTGTAATATTGAAAAGTCCTATTTCATATTTCTACTAACTTAACATTAACTAAAATGGATTAAAAAATTTGAAAATAAACGTCTAAAATATCACACTTTTCTGACACAAAAAAGGCGCACGCACACGCGCGCGCGCCCACACACACTATTTGTTCGCCAGTTCTCCGTTCTCGCTTTCTCTTTTGCACAATCGGTTGGTCGCATCCGCATATGAAATTCCCGATTTGCCCTCAACCATGCCGGCTTCAGCATCATCGGCGCCGCCGCCTCCGACTCACAGCCGTCGCGAGGATCTAATCGGAAAACTGAGCTCTTCCTCCACCGATACAAAGCTCAAAGCCCTTCGCGACCTCAAAAATCAAATCATCGGTAACCGTACGAAGAAGCTTTGTTTCCTCAAACTCGGCGCCGTTCCTTTAATTACCTCTATCCTCTCTTCCTCCTCTTCCTCCGCCGGCACGGCTGGTTCTTCATGTGCCGATGATGACGTGGAACTCAACGATTCGCTTATTATTCAATCGGCTGCTGCTATCGGTAGCTTTGCGTGTGGCTTTGATGACGGCGTTAAAGCTGTTTTAGATGCCGGTGCTTTTCCTCTTCTTCTTCGCCTTATTTCTTATCCTAATGATAAGGTAATTTTCAAATTTCAATTTTTTTTGTTGCTTTTTTTACTCTTTTTTTGTTTGCGTTTTGGCTCTATTATGAAGCAAATTATAGATGTATAATTTCTTTCAACATTCAATGCTAGATTTTTAAAATCTTATATTTGCTTAATTCTTCTGTTTGTAGTACCAGAGTTGTATCTTAATTTCGAATATTCAGCCTTTTTCCGCGCTTACCTCTAATTTTCAGATAAAAATCTTTAAAAAATTAGGTGAAATAGATTTCTTCGTTAATTTTTAGAATCTGTACTGAAAATTTATAACTTAGAAAATGTAAAAGTTTGATTCTTTATATTTTTTCTTTTCCCTCTTTGCTTGATTTTAAAATAAGTTGAAAGTAATTAAGGGGAAGAGTAGAGCAAGTAGTTGTTTTACTGTTCTTCAGACGATCACATCGGCCTTACCTTTTGACTGATATGTCCCATAATCATTTTTTTACGAGTACACATGATTGCCATTATCTCTGTGCTTATCATTGATGAACTGAGATCTGATGCAGGTAGTGGATGCTGCTGCTCGTTCCCTTAAGTTTATTTATCAGTCAAAGTTAGCCCCAAGGTATGATTTTCTGCAGGGGAATAATATGACATTTATCTGGTCGCTATTGAATAGTGAAAATGAGAATGTGACTGGACTTGGTGCAAGTATCATTACACATTCTTGCCAGACAAGTTTTGAGCAGAAGGCATTAAGCGATTCTGGGGTTTTAAAGAAACTCACATACATGCTTGGAGGGTCTGTAACTCAAACAGATGCTAGTCTAGAGTCTGTTGCCACTATCCTTAAGGAAAATCCTGATGTCGTTTCAAAGTTCACGGAACCTGAAAATGGAGGAGCATTGGAGACTATTACTGAATTGACCAAGGATAAAAGTGCCCGGACAAGACTGCTTGCTTGCATATGCTTGATTGTCATAAAGAACTCTGCTCCTTCTTGCCTTCAAAATTTACGAATCAAAACAAAATTGATATTAATACTACTTGAGCTTCTTGAGGATGATCAAGTTGGAGCCGAAGCTCCTTTTGCCTTGTCTAGTTTAATTGCAGAAAGGGAGGATTTGCAATTGTTAGCATTCGAGGCAAATGTTATTGATAAGCTTGTCAACCACCTGCGAAGAGGTCCAATACAGTCGAGACGTTTAGAGGGTATACTTATTGCATTGGCTAACATGTGCTCCAGACTGGAACGGTGCAGGGATCGGCTTCTGTCATTAGAGGTCAGTTGCTTCACAATGCATAAAGACTTGTTTCGTCGTGTATATTGTCATTGTGTGGCAGTGAGGCTGCAAGGGAAAAAAATTAATTCTGATTTCTGCACTTGGGCCTTGTATAATTCTGTAGAACTAAGCTTTTAAATGATAAATGCTGATAGATTCAGTTGAAATGAGTATGTTAATTCTACATTTTGTAAAAGTAAGTGGCATAACTTTCATTTAATTTTTTGTATTTGAGCTGCAACTGAATCACATGTATCTGAATCCTTAACTGTTCACTTTGCTCAAATCATTGAACTTGAATTGAAGTGTTGGTTAGATTTGAGCTCAAGTTGCATGCTTGAACACATATATGATAGGCTTGAGCTCGTCTCATAAGCTTGGCAGTTGATTGAAACTATGGATTGAATTTGAGCTCGGATCATCAGTCTTGTATAAAATATTCTTTGTAAATAGCTAAAGTTAAATGATGAGCCTGGTTTTGGTACAAGGTAGGACAATAAAGAAGTGTTTTGAGATGCAAAAAGCGCAAAGTAACCGGACTGCAAGCGAGAAAGGAAGTGCGCACCTCATTGAAGTGAAGTGCATATTTTTGCAAACATACACAGAAGAATCACCGTCATGCACAAAATAAGTATTCATACCATTAAATAACCACTTATATTAGGTTACAAAGTCGAGTAAACATAATATAAGCATAGAGTCAATGCAGACAAAGGTCACCAATATATTTTTTATGTTAAAAGGTGGACAAATGCGAATTAATGCTCAAAAATCAAGTCTTTACACAACAAAAGAAATAGGAATTAATCCTCTTCCTTCTCAAGATTGATCATATCCATCAATATCTTATAATTGCCTTTGCCCTCTTCCTCCATTTTCATATTTTTTATCTACCAGAGTCTGTTTTGATGAAGTAGAAGTTGCTACTCCTTCTTCTATTTATTGGAGCTTTTATTTTCGCTCAAACCATACAAGTCCGCGTCACTTCACTTCCCTCAGCAACATCACCTCAAGTCAAAGCAGAAACATCTTTCTCATCAAATACTAGACTGGAATTGACTAGCAGACAAACATGGTCGAGAACTAGGATGTGCTGCTGCAGATGAAACATGCTCAGGATGTGTCCAAATTAAACTTAATTGCATTAACAGTTGAGGTTGCTAGAAGTTTTGTTAGAAAAAAAAACAGCAGACACATTAATGGAGAACCAGACAGTGCTTTAACAAGCAGAACACGCTGAAGATGTTTGATACTATGCTTAGTTGTGTTAATGACTGAGGCATGCTGATCTGAAGTGTGTCATAATTAAGTCTGGAGGCCTTTCTATTTAGGAACCTTTGAGTGATGTGGAGGACATACGCCAAATTTTTGATAGTTACATCTATTTATTGATGCAGGCTATGAAGCTTGTAGGTGATGCCCTGAGTCACGACAGTGGTGAAGTGCGTGCTGCAGCATGTATATGTTTGAAAAATGTTTCTCGCTCAGTCAAGGTTTGTGGTATTAATAATAGCCAAAATTAATTTTTAATAATGGCTATTCATGTAATGATCTTTGCTGACAAACTACTTCTCAGAATCTTAGCACAGGTCTATTTATGAATGAAAGCTTTGTTGTTCCCTTGGTTCGGCTTTTAGTTGATGATTTGACCTTTGTCCAGGTAATTTTTTTTTTTTTTTTTTTTTGCTTGTGTTCTCATATGAGTCTGTTTTTGCAACTTTGGCACCATCACTGATGCATGACTGCTGGCTTTCATGTCCTATATGTCGTTGAGCATTATCCATTATAGAAGTTGTGTTGATTGGTTTGAAATTGTATGTTCGTGTTAGGCTGGGATGGGCATTGGTGCATTAATAAAGTGAAGCTTAGAAGATTCTGACCTTGTGACAGCAATGTTAATTATATAGCGCTCTTGGTTTTAGTGACTAATAGGTCATACTAATTAGTTATGATAAGGTTTAGTAGTTGAGGTCCTGTGATCACGAAGAGTTCTTTAAGTTTGATTGCAGATTTGTATGTTAGTATGGGGTGAAGTGTGGGATTTGGAGAATATCTAATTTTGGAGGAACCCCAGTGTGTCCTGAGTACTAGAATGAAATGATCCAAATGGAGCGGAATGAATATAAAAGATTTATGTAGTTGATTCCAGCTAGTTTGGGATTGAAATGTGTGTTTTTGTTGTAGTAATAGAATATTAACAGCTCGCACCCTCCAAGCCCTTGCTTTCAGGATTGGGAAGGTGGGATGGGGTGGGGGAGTTTCTCTTCCTCTTTTTTAGACCAGTTAACATAGGAGTGCTACATGTGAGTAAGACACGCAAGAAACTCACAATTAGTTAGGATATTCTCTCGGGCACCACGATAACACTTGTAAAGTGGTGTTTAAAGCATTTAATTTACAACTCAATGCCAACTTTGTCACAGGCTTAGCTGAAGTGTGCTCCTTAAAATTTTGCAGAGAGTTGTCAATTGTATTCAGTTAATACTTTAGAGGATCTATGAAAGCCATGTTTACTGAGATTATTGTAAGATGTTATATACATGCACCCTTTTCGTTGTTTTTGTTTCAACTGTTCAAAGAGATGCTGCATCTGATGACTTGAAAAGCTCTTTTGCACTAGTGGTCCTAATTTTTCTTAGGTTGAGCTATTGAGAATTTCATAATATGCTCTTCAATCCTCTACTAGCAGGTTTCTGCCCTTGATGCCATCAGCAACATAGCGATTGATTTTTTGGCACATAAGACAATGTTTATGCAGTGTGGAGGTGTGAAGCAGCTTGTTCAGCTTTCGAAGTCAATGGATTCAACTATTAGGGTAAAAGCCGTGTGTGCTTTAAGGAACCTGACATTCCTTGTGAACAACAAGTGTAAAGAGGAAATTCTATCAGAGCTCACACAGTTGACTCTGAGAAGCCTGATCTGTGGTAATTTTTCTGCTATTATCTGGTACCTGGCAAATGTATGGTTGTACAGAGAGATCTTCATTAGATGTTAACACTTTTGGGTTGCAGATCCTGAGGCTTCTGTTCAAGAGCAAGCTCTAGCTTTGGTTCGTAATCTTGTTGATGGGCCTCTAGATTCTATCCAGCACATCTTTGCTGAGGACGCTCTTCTGCTGCATGCTGTGGGACAGCAACTGCAGAGTGCTTCAAAAGCTCAAGTCCTCATTCAGGTAAAAACTTCTGCTCTTTGTAAAATGTTGATGTGTCAATCCTTAAATGTATGCTTAACTATGTTGCTCGGACTCTCCAAAAATGTTGATTGGTGCGTGTCGGATCCTCCAAAAGTAGTGCATTTTGGAGGATCCGACACGGGTGTGGCAGCTGTTTTGAAGAGTCTGCGCAACATATATGCTTAACGACTAGAAGTAAATCAGGTTCTAAGCAAGCTGCTGAAAATTTTCTGGTCATTCTGCCAGATCATCATTATTATTTTTTTATAGGAAAGATTTTCATAATTGTTTGTGCAGATGATGAACTGTAAGGATTTGATTAATATGTTAATACTTGGGGAGGCCGATATTAAATGTGTATCAGGTTGTGATGGCGATACTGGCAAAAAGATCTGTTCCTTATGTAGTATATAATAAAATAGATATCACTAGTGGTGGAGGTGATATCTTTAGGTGGCTAAATATTTTTTTTTTCTTTTGGGGATGAACAAAAATTGTGCTAATGTGCATAAATCCATACAGGGGACTGTACTATTTTTTTGTTGCCTTATAGGCGAAGAATTTAAGATAATCATGCTTCCGAAAGCTCGGTTGTCCAAGTGCAGATGTGTGTTTGCTAGAGAAATGTTGTAATTGTGGATGGCTTTGAAATAGCAGTAATTGCATCAAGTTATAGATTAAGGTTGATTTGGTCTTCACGCACCTTGGCATGTATCTCTTGATGCAAAATTACAATCTCTACCACTGTTTGCTGTCAGATCATCTTTGGTTGAATAGAATGCTGTAAAATAGTCACCAAAAATAGAAACAAATTGCTTATTTTGTGTGTGAGAATGAACTTCACACGAGTACTTTCTTTATGGAAGAAGAAGATTAGGCATTTCAAGCAACAAATGTTTTATTTCTCAATTCTGCTTACACAGGTAACGATGCTTGTTTTCTTTTCTGATAAGTTCCATTGCTAGTTTTCTTTATCAACAGATTACTTAACTGATGCTTCGCGAATAATGTCCAATTAATTATGGGTTCTGAACATCTCTCTCTCTCTCTCTCTCTCTCTCTCTCTCTAGGGTATGTACGTCTTTACAAATGTGGCATCTGGAAATGAGGTGCACAAGGAAGCTGTTATGCAAGAGCTCTTTCCACCGTTAGCTAATGATTCTGAATCAATTATGTTCAAGTTTTTACATAGTGATGATAGCCGGTTACGTACAGCTGCAGTTTGGACTCTAGTGAACCTTACTTCTCCAAGCAGTTCTGGTGCATCTGGCTGGGTGATGAAACTACGGAATGCCGGCATAGTTTCCCAGTTGAAAAATATGGTCAATGATCCTTGCCTTGATGTAAAGGTCAATGCAATTATTCGGATTAAACTATGTTTAGATTATTCGTTTGCTTGTCAATTAAATTTTGTTTGAACTCTTTGTGCAGCTTAGAGCGAGGACAGCTCTAGGGCAATCAATGACTTCTGGTGATGGTTCTACATGACTATTATATTTTGATCCTTAATTCAGTGGTTGGTGAAAGATTCTGGTGCAGAATGATGCTTGGGCTTCAACATGTTTTATATAATGCCATGTCTGCAACCTTTGGGACCAAGGAGAACATGGTATGCATTCGTCAAGGTCGACTTAAATTTATGATTAATCAAGTCGTAGGAACATCTCTGTAACTTTATAAATAGGCATAGAGCTCTGGTTTTCCATAAACAATGAGTACTATACATACCTCATGGGGCTGTACAGTTCTGCAAAGCACGTGATAGAAATAACAAACCTCCTCCTTTCTCAGTAAATGGAAGTTTATGAAAGCTTTCAAATGCATTAGATATGTTTAAATTTTAATCAAGAATTCTGAGGGAAGTGTGAAAAGATGCTGTCTTGGCATGGCAATCTGTGGTTATTAGTAATACGAGAATGGTTATAAATAATATAGATCCTTATTCTTGACCCGTATATTTAGTCAAGTTGGAACTAATTGGCAGATTTTGGTTACTTGTTTAAAAGTTAACTCTCCTATTTTGCTTTCTTGAGAATCTTAAGGAAAAGAAAGAAGACCATTCAAATTTGTATCTCCCTGCTGAAATCTTCAAAGTCAATACATTGTCTAACCCCAAAACATACCATAAATACTGTTGATTAACTCATCAAATTTCAGATATGCAAGAAATAGTAGGCTTTGCATGTAATTTTATTAAATCTGTCTTAGCAAGGGGTCTAATCCAGGAAAAGCTAATTGACCAACAAAACCCACCACCTCGTTCTGAGTGGTAGACATGGTTTGTAGGTTTTTAATCTTTGTCGGAGATACGTTTAAGTTTTAACCTACTAGAAAGTGACCAGAGAGTGGTCAAGTTTGCTTCTGCTTCAACCTTACTTCTTGTTGCAGGTTTAAGCTTTCACTCCAGCATTTTTCAAATTCAAGGCTTTTGCTTGGAGTTGCTCGACTATTGATTGTGTGGCCTATCAGGCCGTATTCAACTGTACCATTCTGTGCCCCAGCAGGAATTTTGTATCTTTTTTCCAAGTGTAATATTGTTAATGATTGTTGCAGCTTTTATTCTGTATTCCCCCTAAAAGCCCTTTCATTTCCCTATTGTTGGGGTCTGGTGCTGGGGATAAATAATTAGGTATCATTATTGTGTCCTCGTCTCTCTTTTTTTTTCATTTTAGGGGGTTTAGTTTTAGTATTTAGGTTGCTTAAAACACGAGGGATTGTGTTAATATCTATTTACTTGTTTTGCTGAGAAGCGGTACTTTCTATTTAAGAGAATTTGCTTCCTTGATCTACCAATAGCACAAGGTATATACTATTGAAATCCACTGTCGACTTGAAAATTAGATTCCACTTCACCTTTTTTTCTGGCTTGAGTGTTTGTACTGAAGACGATGGCTGAGTTTTGAAACTTGATGCATTATTAGCATTTAGCCATGAGCCTTTTCATATATTTGGAGAATTGACCTCAGCTACCCTCTTTGCTGAATGCTCTGCAAAAGATGAGTGTACAATCCGGAAAACAGAAGTGTCTGGTTGACATGGCTATTTTAGATTGCTCTGTACTCAGCAATCAGCATCTCTAATAGGTGAACTGAAATCTTATGCATGAAGTACAAATATATATAGTGATGAAATGTGTGTTGATGGGCTCGGGCCAACTTTAGGCTTGGGTAGTCCATGTGAATAGGGTCCTTCGCAGGGCAGGCCCCTTACCACTCGAGCCAATCAATGAGCAACCCTATGGGCAGTTGGCATCTCTTTGCAACTCAGACAACGAGTCGAGCATAGTTTGGCATAACATTATCTAGTTTCTCTCAAAGATTTATACCATATAGAAGTATCATTTCTCGAACCTTTTTTACTCTTCGTGGAGTTGATGTCCTCAGCTTTTAATTTTTGAGTGAGATTATTAGTTTGTCTGTCCTGCATTTCGGACAGGTTGGAACTGATTACATGAACCAGAGTTCTTGATTAAATTGCCCCTCCAGTGGCATTATGTCCCTCGTATCTGCATATTTTCAAGTTTCTTCTGTTTATGTGATCTTGGACTTTGTTTCTGGTGCCTTAGAAGAACCTACATATGAATCGAAATTAGGTATCATGTAACATAACCTATATATGCTTTTGGAGTTGCCTCTGATTCTTGTTCTCGGTTTTGGTTGTCTTAGTTCTCTTTTATTTGTCCCAAAAAATGCTACAGCATTCCATAACAAACTCTAGAACATTAATGCAAGGTGCTCATTTGTCCTCTACTAAGCTACATGTTCGATCACGTCAGTCACAGTCTCTGTTCATTACTTGAGCACAAATTTACCTAGTATCTTTTGCCTATTTTTCATTCTGTCATGGTAAGCAAATTTCTATTCCTCTCTATTGGTACGAATGTCTTATAGCCTGTTTGGCCAAGCTGAAAAAATCAGCTTATTTTGAGAAGTATTTTTTTCAAAAGTGCTTTTCAAAAAAGTACTTTTGGAGAAAAACAGTTTGTGTTTGTTTAATCAATTTGAAAAGCACTTTTGAACAATAATTTGTGTTTGGCCAAGTTTTTCAAAAAGTGTTTTTATGTGTCAAATTACAAATAAGGACACGAAGAGATTTGCTTAATAGTTAATATTATATAAATAGATAAATAATTACAAATATTTATTGCTAAAGATAATAATTAAGTTTTTTATATTATTTAAGTAAAATATAAAAATAAAATTGAAAAGTACTTTATTCTTTCAAGATAATTTAAATATATCAAAACATCATCCAATAAATATGAAAGTTCATCCCAAAAGTCATTTTATATTACTTAATAGTTTAAATTAAGTAAGGTTATTTTGGTATATATAATTGTATACGGTCGAAATCGGGCATACACGATTTCATTGGCAGGGGAATTGCCTCGAGGGTAACCTCATAATAGATCGGGCTCGAGCTCGAAGATAGAACATCAAGCCTGGAGATCGAAGTGTTCATTGAGATCGAGGCCAGCAACAATCGAGATCAAGCATGACTGACTTCGAGTGAGGTGTAATAACGGAATAGCGAGATATCAGTAACCGGTCGAAGATCACGGCGAAAATCCCGGAACAGATCAAATCAAAGCGGTTATTAGTGCCAATCATGGGATCTACTTCCGTTATTAGAGTTGTACCTTATTTAGGATTCATCTATTATATAAAGAGGGATCCCATTCACTTGTGAGGGGGACAATCATTATTCACTAATAAGAATATACGCATACGATGCTTTCTTTGTTTTACTTACTGTTCATCGTTGTTTGTTCAATCCTCTACTGTTCTTATTAACTAGCCTCGAGACTATCTTGAATCGAGGTCGAGGCATTGTTTGCAGACCGGTTTGATTTATTTTATTGTCCAATTTATCTATTTAATTCGTTGTTTATCAATTGGTACTCGTTTAAATCACATATCCTTAAAACCACAATATAAGTTTAATTGTTACTCAATTTTTAGGATAAACAGTTTGGCGCCCACCGTGGGGCTAAGGATAATAGTGATTGTTCAGTACTGATTATGCTAAAACACACTATTTTACGCTTGTTCTTGTCAAGTATCTTTGCTTTCAGGTTAAAGCATGTCAAACTCACAAAACATATCAATACACGGTGACAATGGCCTCGGATTCCATGGTGAAAATGAAAACGTGATTGCTCCATGAGTCGAGGTGCCACAGGCTAATCTCGGGGGAACACCGGTTGCCAACCCAGTCGATGTCAGTCCGTATGTTGCTCTAAACGCGAACCTAGACACAGATCTCGATGGGAGTGTACGTAGAGAAAGCCGATCTAGTGGCCAAGGAACACAGGGCAGAGGAGACGAAGGAGTCAATCTCCAAGTGATATTCGAGATGCTTCAGGCTCAGCAAGCCGCTATTGCTCAGTTACAAAATCAACTTAGAGCTCCGAATAGGGTCGAGCCGGAAATTACTCGCCGTACCGAGCTAGTACCGGAAAGGTTGAATGGTAACGAATAGGGGACTGATCCTGCGGTAATAAAAATGCTCGAGGAGCTCACCAAAAGAATTGAATCAGGGGAGAAGAGAATCGAAGCCAACGATAAAAAAGTGGAGACATATAACTCTCGAGTTGATCAGATACCGGGGGCACCGCCAATCTTGAAAGGGATGGATTCGAAGAAGTTTGTACAAAAGTCATTTCCTCCAAGTGCGGCTCTGAAGCCTATTCCAAAGAAGTTTCGTATGCCAGACATACCCAAATATAAAGGGACCACCGATCCCAACGAGCATGTTACTTCATATACATGCGCCATCAAGGGTAATGATTTAGAAGATGATGAAATCGAATATGTGTTGTTGAAAAAAAATCAGAGAGACCCTTTCGAAGGGAGCAATGATTTGGTATCACAACCTGCCACCAAATTCCACCGACTCATTTTTCATGTTAGCAGATTCTTTTGTAAAGGTACATGTCGGGGCCATAAAGGTCGCAACGAGGAAATCAGACCTTTTCAAGGTAAGACAAAGGGATAATGAAATGCTGAGGGAGTTCGTGTCCCGATTTCAAATGGAACGCATGGAGTTGCCACCGGTCACAAATGATTGGGCCATTCAAGCTTTCACCCAACGGTTGAATGAGCGGAGTTTGATAGCATCACGTCAGTTGAAACAAAATTTGATCGAGTATCCAGTTGTAACTTGGGCAGATGTGCACAATCGATATCAATCGAAGATCAGGGTCGAGGACGACCAATTAGGAGCCCCTTCCTGTTCAGTACATCCAAACAGGTCGGCAGTTTAAAATAAGAGGGACGTCGATAAGGAGCCAAGGTCGACTAGAGACCGATATCAACCATATACCACATATCGAAGGAACAATGGTTCAGGATGCAATTCCGCCCGGAACGATCGAAGAAGTGATTGAGGATAGAATTCTCGGGGACTTATGAACAAAAGTGGTTTTGAAAAGTATGACGATCCCACATAGGCACCTCGGTTATTGGAATATAACTTTAGCATCGATGCATCGGGCATTGTATCGGCAATCAGAAGGATCAGAGATACTAGGTGGACCAGACCCATACAAACCGATCCTTTCCAAAGAAACCCAAATTTGATGTGCAAGTATCATGGAACGCATGGTCACAAGACCGAGGATTGCAGGCAATTAAGGGAAGAGGTAGCCCTTCTATTCAATGAGGGCCACCTTCGAGAGTTCCTCAGCGATCGAGCCAAGAATCATTTCAGAGAAAGGGACGCCAACAGGAAAAATGAACAGGAGGAATCCCAACATGTCATTCATATGATCGTCGGTAGGGTCGACATTCCACAGGGACCCATATTCAAATGCACTAAAGTATCAATCACTAGGGAAAAACGAACCCGAGATTATGTGCCCGAAGGCACTTTATCATTCAACAACGAAGAAGCAAAAGGCATTTCTCAGCCCCACAACGACGCTCTAGTAATTTCTATCTTATTAAATAAAGTTCAAGTTAAGCGTGTTTTAGTGGATCCAGGTAGCTCGACGAATATCATCCGATCGAGGGTCGTGGAGCAGCTCGGCCTATAAAATCAAATTGTGCTCGCAGCTCGGGTCTTAAACGGCTTCAATATGGCCAGTGAAACAACTAAATGTGAGATTATTCTACCGGTGAACGTGGCCGGAACCATTCAAGATACCAAGTTCCACATAATCGAGGGCGACATGAGGTATAATGCCCTGCTCGGAAGGCCTTGGATCCACAATATGAGGACAGTCCCTTCGACTCTCCATCAAATGATGAAATTCCCGACGTCGGACGGTGTAAAAACAGTATACGGGGAGCAACATGCTGCAAAGAAAATGTTTGCAGTCAATGAGGTAACATCGATATCGACACTATAAACCTCGAAAAGGTCGAGCATCAAAGGTAAATAGGAAGTCAAATAGCAATCACAGCCACCAGTCTCGATCGAATCGGGGAAGCAGGAGATAGAAGAAGAAGAGGAGGATTTTCTGACCCCTCGAACTTTTATTGTTCCCGAAGATTCTGACGCCACCAAATCAACGGTCGAAGAGCTGGAACAGGTTATATTGATCGAGTACCTGCCCGAGCGAAAGGTATACCTGGGAACGGGATTAACCCCCGAACTCAGGAAAAAGCATATTCAATTTCTTATTGATAATATAGATTGTTTTGCTTGGTCCCATTTAGACATGACATGGATCCCACCGGAGATAACGACACATCGGCTAAGCCTGGACCCTAGGTTCAAACTGGTGAAGCAAAAGAGAAGATCCCAGTCCGAGGTAAAGAATGTATTCATAAAGGACGAGATAACA